ATTCAACATCATCAGGGCAAGATGATATAAAAATCAGTCACCTTTCAGTCAATGGTAGCACAAGCTAACATTCAACATCACCAGGGCAAGATGATGCGCCATCATTTAACACCTTCAGTCAATGGTAGCACAGTTAAACATTCAACATCATCATCAGGCAAGATGATGTACAATCATTAACACCTTCAGTCAATAGTGCAGCACAGCTAACATTCAACATCATCAGGGCAAGATGATGTAAAAATCAGTCACCTTCAGTCAATGGTAAAGCATAAGCAACATTCAACATCATCAGGGCAAGATGATGTACAAATAAATTCAAACACCTTTCAGTCAATGGTAGCATGTAAGCATTATCATGGGCAAGATGATGCGTACAATCACACACCTTCAGTCAATGGTAGCAATAAGCAACATTCAACATCACCAGTGGGTAAGGATGATGTACTAAATCGCTAATAACCTTCAGTCAATGGTAGCACAAGCAGCATTAAACATCATCAGCAAGATTACGTATTAATCAATAACAACCTTCAGCCAATGGTAGCACAAAGCAACATTCAACATCACCAGGGTAAGATGATGCACCCATCACATCACCTTCAGTCAATGGTAGCACAAGCAGCATTCAACATCATCAGGGCAAGCATGATTTACAATCAAACACCTTCAGTCAATGGCAGCACAAGCATTATCAGGGCAAAGATGATGTACAATCATCACACCTTCAGTCAATGGTAGCTATTGGGGCTACACATTCAACATCATCAGGGCAAGATGATGTACAATCAGCCACCTTCAGTCAATGGTAGTTATTAAGCAAATGATTCAACCATCATCAGCGCGATGATGTACAATCACACACCTTCAGTCAATGGTAGCATTAAGCAGCATTCAACATCATCAGGGCAAGATGATGTACAATCAAACACCTTCAGTCAATGGTAGCACAAGCATTACTCAGGGCAAGATAATGTACAATCACGTCACCTTCCTCAGTCAATGGTTAAAATTGCTAACATTCCGAACAATCATCAGGGCAAGATGATGTACAATCAAACACTTTCAAATAATGGTGCAGCTAGCGAAGCATTACTTCAGGGCAAGATGATGCACAATCAGCCCACCTTTGAAGTGGTTGGTAGCAATGCTGTTAATTAAACATCATCAGGGCAAGATGATGTACCAATCACACACCTTCAGTCAATGGTAGCAATAAGCAAATATTCAACATCATCAGGGCAAGATGATGTACAATCAGTCACCTTCAGTCAACGGTGGCAGCACAAGCAACATCTCAACATCATCAGGGCAAAGATGCGCCGAATCAACACATTTTCAGTCAATGGTAGCACAAGCAAGCATTCAACATCATCAGGCAAGATGATAAGTAAAATCAGTCACCTTCAGTCAATGGTAGCACAAGCAAAACATTCAACATCACCAGGCAAGATGATGCCAATCAATAACACCTTCAGTCAATGGTAGCACGTTGCTAAATATCCAACATCTATCAAAGCAAGATGATGTACAATCAATAACAACCTTCAGTCAATAGTAGCTAATGCCAAATCATTCAACATCATCAGGGCATGATGATGTAATAATCACACAATTTCAGTAACAATTTGTAAAGCAATAAGCAACATTCAACATCATTCGGTAGCAAGATGATGTACGTATCAAACACCTTCAGTCAATGGTAAAGATAAGCATTATCAGGGCAAGATGATGCACAATCAGTCACCTTTTAGTGGTTGGTATAATAAGCAGCATTCAACATCATCAGGGCAAGCATGATGTACCAATCAGCTCACCTTCAGTCAATGGTGGTGTTAATAAGCAGCATTCAACATCATCAGGGCAAGATGATGTAACAATCAATATCAACCTTCTGTTCAATAGTAGCACAAAGCAACATTCAACATCATCAGGCAAGATGATGTACAATCATCAATAACCCTTCAGCCAATAGTAGTAGCACAAGTTAAACATTCAACATCATCAGGCACATGATGATACCAATCAAACACTTTTCAGTCAATGGTAGCATCATAGCATTAAACATCATCAGGGCAAGATGATAAAATCAAACAATACTTTCAGTCAATGGTAGCACAAGCATTATCAGGGTGCGATATGTACAATCACACATCTCAGTCAATGGTATAATGCCAACATCCAACATCACCAGGTAAGATGATGTACAACGCCACACCTTCAGTCAATGGTAGCAATAAGCAGCATTAAACATCATCAGGCGCATGATGTACAATCACACACCCTTCAGTCAATGGTATAAGCAACATTCAACATCACCGCAGGTAAGATGATGTACAAATCAAACACTTTCAGTCAATGGTAGCACAAGCATTATCAGGCAAGATGATGTACAATCACACACCTTCAGTCAAATGGTAGCACAAGAACATTCAACATCATCAGGGCAAGATGATGTACAATCAGCCACCTTCAGTCAATGGTAGCACAAGCAACATTCAACATCATCAGGCGATGATGTACAATCACACACCTTCAGTCAATGGTAGCACATAGCATTCAACATCATCAGGCAAGATGATGCAAAACGTTAATTTTCGAAATAATAGGCACAAGCATTATCAGGGCAAGACATGTACAAATCACACACCTTCAGTCAATGGTGGCACAAGCAACATTCAACATCAACAGTAAGATGATGTACAATCACACACCTTCAGTCAATGGTAGCACAAGCAGCATTAAACATCATCAGGGCAAGATGATTTACCATCACACACCTTTCAGTCAATGGTGTTAGTTAATAAGCAGTATCTAACATCATCACCAGGGTAAACACGATGGCCACAATCAAACACTTTCAGTCAATGGTAGCACAAGCATTATCAGGGCAAGATGATGTACAATCAATAACACCTTCAGTCAATGGTAGCACAAGCAACATTCAACATCATCAGGGCAAGATGATGCGCCAATCAGCCACCTTCAGTCAATGGTGGTAGCACAAGCAACATTCAACATCATCAGGGCAAGATGATGTACGTAATCACACACCTTCAGTCAATGGTAGCACAGTTAGCATTCAACATCATCAGGCAAGATGATGTACAAATCAAACACCCTTCAGTCAATGGTAGTACCGCTACTTCATCAGGGCAAGATAATGTACAATCAGTCACCTTCTAGTCAATGGTTGCATTGGGCAACATTCCCAACATCATCAGGGTAAGATGATGTACAATCAAACACCTCAGTCAATGGTAGCATAGCATTATCAGGCAAGATGATGCACAATCAGTCACCTTAGTGGTTGGTGGTAGCACAAGCAGCATTCAACATCAGGCAAGATGATGTAAAATCAAATCTTTCAGTCAATGGTAGCAATAAAGCTACCATTCAACATCATCAGGCAAGATGATGTACAATCAGTCACCTTCAGTCAATGGTAGCACAGCAACATTCAACATCATCAGGGCAAGATGATGCGCCAACACATCTCAGTCAATTTGCAGCATGCAAGCAGCATCAACATCATCAGCAAGATGATATAAAATCAGCCTACCTCAGTCAATGGTACGTACAACATTCAACATCACTAGGTAAGATGATGTACAATCACACACCTTCTACAGTCAATGGTAGCAATAAGCAGCATTCAACATCATCAGGGCAAGATGATGTACAATCACACACCTTCAGTCAATGGTAGCACGTTGAAATATACCAACATCATCAGGCAAGATAGATGTGCGAACAACACCTTCAGTCAATGGTAGCACAAGTAGCATTCAACATCATCAGGGCAAGATGATGTACAATCAAACACCTTCAGTTAATGGTAGCACAAGCATTATCAGGGCAAGATGAGTAATATCAGTCACCTTTCAGTCAATGGTTGCACAAGCACATTCAACATCATCCCAGGGCAAGATGATGTACAATCACACACCTTCAGTCAATGGTAGCACAAAGCGGGCATTCACCATCATCAGGCAAGATGATGTACAATCACACACCTTCAGTCAATGGTAGCACAAGCAGCATTCAACATCATCAGGTAAGATGATGTACAATCACACACCTTCAGTCAGCCACGCCACCATTCAACATCATCAGGGCAAGATGATGTACAATCAGTCACCCAGTCAATGGTGTAGCACAAGCAACATTCAACATCATCCCAGGGGCAAGATGATGTACAATCACACCACATTCACCATATTAACAAGAACTACATGTATAGGCTTTCACATTCACCATATTAACAAGAGCTACATGTATAGGCTTTCACATTCACCATATTAACATGAGCTACATGTATAGGCTTTCACATTCACCATATTAACATTAGCTACATGTATAGGCTTTCACATTCACCATATTAACATGAGCTACATGTATAAGCTTTCAGAATACACACTACCACCTACCTGTTGCTTTCCGAGGAGAAATGGCCCTGTGCGGTGAGACAGTTGGTGAGGGGAAGTCATCACCCTGCCTCCATGCCAGTAGAGCTGCTTGGAAGGATGCAGCACTCTCGGCTTCATTGTACTGACCTGCCAACAAGTCTCTTGCCGACTCGTATGAACCACTTGCACCCTCAGGGCCATTTCGCTCTGATTCCTGTCAACAAAATACATCATGCTCTCATACAGACAATAAGTCACCCGCCGACTCGGTTATGAACCGCTAGCACCCTCAGGGCCATTTCGCTCTGATTCCTGTCAACAAAATACATCATGCTCTCATACAAACAACAAATCACCCGCCGACTTGTATGAACCACTAGCACCCTCAGGGCCATTTCGCTCTGATTCCTGTCAACAAAATACATCATGCTCTCATACAAACAACAAATCACCGCATGACTCATTATGAACCACTAGCACCCCTCAGGGCCATTTCGGCTCTGATTCCTGTCAACAAAATACATCATGCTCTCATACAAACAACAAATCACCCATGCCACTTCATTATGAACCACTAGCACCCTCAGGGCCATTTCGCTCTGATTCCTGTCAACAAAATACATCATGCTCTCATACAGACAACAAATCACCCGCCGACTCGTATGAACCACTAGCACCCTCAGGGCCATTTCGCTCTGATTCCTGTCAACAAAGTACATCATGCTCTCATACAAACAACAAGTTGACTGCATCTATCAATGACAACAATCTGACAGAACTTTCAAGTGATTTTATGTTTCCTACACAGTCATTTCTGGAACTGACCATCTGTATAAGTGTTTGCTACTACAGTAGTATGACATCATTTTAACAACTCTATTTGTGATAGTCATCAATGTGACTTGTACCATGGACAACTGCCTCTAAACACCATACTCACTCAATCCCTCAACAGAGTTTGATTATCATTGGTACAAATGGATGGGTAAGACTGCATGAAAGGTTAGAATGAATTTGGGCATGTTTTACATCACAGCCTGGAATATTCCATCAAGTTCATAGCAACATCTAAATAATGAAATCTAGGCCAGTCATTCCAGCAGTGGGTAAACCTATGAATCTCCCACACCATCCCTGTCTCATGACAACCAGGCAGACCAGCAGTGGGTAAACCTATGAATCTCCCACACACCATCCCTGTCTCATGACAACCAGGCAGACCAGCAGGTGGAGTAAACCTATGAATCTCCCACACCATCCCTGTCTCATGACAACCAGGCAGACCAGCAGTGGGTAAACCTATGAATCTCCCCCATCCCTGTCTCATAACAACCAGGCAGACCAGCAGGTGGGTAAACCTATGAATCTCCCCATCCCTGTCTCATGACAACCAGGCAGACCAAGAGCCTGACTAGCCACCCTCTCTAACAACCACGAGGAAGTGAAAACCTATTCCGATCAAAATGAATGATGAACTCTGTACTGGTGCCCTTTTTACTTTCCTGTATCCCTCAACGTACCTGGTAGCTGATGCTGCTGGATACAGCGCCTACTGCTGGGGACGGCTTCATCTCTCTACAACATCACATCAGGATCATCATGAGCCACTTCCAATGAATGGCATTACATGACAGGTAGAAATTACAAAAATGGTGGACTTTGCACAAAGGTGTATCAGCATTTACTTTTCTGTGAAGACTACAATATTTATGGATTTTCTTTTGTAGTGCGAGGACTACTGTCCTGATGCCCCTTCACCAAAACAATCCCTCTCAATAAAACAATCATGAAAGTGGATCTAGAAGCACTTTGAGGAATGGGAATGGTAGTACTAAATTGTGTGTCTTATGTCTAAACATACACATACACTCTGATGACTGTACAACAAAGGTAATTAATTTACAAGGCCAAATTGAGTACCCACTGGAAGCCACACTGATTCTCTATGTATGGTTACAAAGTAAAAGTCTATTTGGTCTAAGGCTTGCTACCACACAGTAAATTCTTTCATATGATCTTGGGATTTTGGTAGTTATTTCTGTGAGAGTGAGCAGCCTTACCTGTGTGATGGCGGAGGGGGGTGGGCAGGGGCGATGAGGACATACACTGCCTGGGACCAGATGCCTGCAAGTAAACAATTCATCGGAATGAACTCATATACCAGTAGCTAAGCTGATTCTACATCAATTCATATATTCCAAGGTAATATTCAAGATGGCCTGTAAATATCTGGACCAGGCAAAAAGTGATCGGTACAAAAAGCAACATTCAACATCATCAGGGCAAGATGATGTACAATCAAACACTTTCAGTCAATGGTAGCATAAGCATTATCAGGGCAAGATGATGCACAATCAGTCACCTTTAGTGGTTGGTAGCACAAGCAGCATTCAACATCATCAGGGCAAGATGATGTACAATCAGTCACCTTCAGTCAATGGTAGCACAAGCAGCATTCAACATCATCAGGGCAAGATGATGTACAATCACACACCTTCAGTCAATAGTAGCACAAGCAACATTCAACATCATCAGGGCAAGATGATGTACAATCACACACCTTCAGTCAATAGTAGCACAAGCAACATTCAACATCATCAGGGCAAGATGATGTACAATCACACACTTTCAGTCAATGGTAGCACAAGCAGCATTCAACATCATCAGGGCAAGATGATGTAAAATCAGTCACCTTCAGTCAATGGTAGCACAAGCAACATTCAACATCACCAGGGTAAGATGATGTACAATCACACACCTTCAGTCAATGGTAGCACAAGCAGCATTAAACATCATCAGGGCAAGATGATGTACAATCACACCTTCAGTCAATGGTAGCACAAGCAACATTCAACATCACCAGGGTAAGATGATGTACAATCACACACCTTCAGTCAATGGTAGCACAAGCAACATTCAACATCATCAGGGCAAGATGATGTACAATCAAACACTTTCAGTCAATGGTAGCACAAGCATTATCAGGGCAAGATGATGTACAATCACACACCTTCAGTCAATGGTAGCACAAGCAACATTCAACATCATCAGGGCAAGATGATGTACAATCAGTCACCTTCAGTCAATGGTAGCACAAGCAACATTCAACATCATCAAGGCAAGATGATGTACAATCACACACCTTCAGTCAATGGTAGCACAAGCAGCATTCAACATCACCAGGGCAAGATGATGTACAATCAAACACCTTCAGTCAATGGTAGCACAAGCATTATCAGGGCAAGATAATGTACAATCAGTCACCTTCAGTCAATGGTTGCACAAGCAACATTCAACATCATCAGGGCAAGATGATGTACAATCAAACACTTTCAGTCAATGGTAGCATAAGCATTATCAGGGCAAGATGATGCACAATCAGTCACCTTTAGTGGTTGGTAGCACAAGCAGCATTCAACATCATCAGGGCAAGATGATGTACAATCACACACCTTCAGTCAATGGTAGCACAAGCAACATTCAACATCATCAGGGCAAGATGATGTACAATCAGTCACCTTCAGTCAATGGTAGCACAAGCAACATTCAACATCATCAGGGCAAGATGATGTACAATCACACATTTTCAGTCAATGGTAGCACAAGCAGCATTCAACATCATCAGGGCAAGATGATATAAAATCAGTCACCTTCAGTCAATGGTAGCACAAGCAACATTCAACATCACCAGGGCAAGATGATGTACAATCACACACCTTCAGTCAATGGTAGCACAAGCAACATTCAACATCATCAGGGCAAGATGATGTACAATCACACACCTTCAGTCAATAGTAGCACAAGCAGCATTCAACATCATCAGGGCAAGATGATGTACAATCACACACTTTCAGTCAATGGTAGCACAAGCAGCATTCAACATCATCAGGGCAAGATGATGTAAAATCAGTCACCTTCAGTCAATGGTAGCACAAGCAACATTCAACATCATCAGGGCAAGATGATGTACAATCAAACACCTTCAGTCAATGGTAGCATAAGCATTATCAGGGCAAGATGATGCACAATCAGTCACCTTTAGTGGTTGGTAGCACAAGCAGCATTCAACATCATCAGGGCAAGATGATGTACAATCAGTCACCTTCAGTCAATGGTAGCACAAGCAGCATTCAACATCATCAGGGCAAGATGATGTACAATCACACACCTTCAGTCAATAGTAGCACAAGCAACATTCAACATCATCAGGGCAAGATGATGTACAATCACACACTTTCAGTCAATGGTAGCACAAGCAGCATTAAACATCATCAGGGCAAGATGATGTAAAATCAGTCACCTTCAGTCAATGGTAGCACAAGCAACATTCAACATCATCAGGGCAAGATGATGTACAATCACACACTTTCAGTCAATGGTAGCACAAGCAGCATTAAACATCATCAGGGCAAGATGATGTAAAATCAGTCACCTTCAGTCAATGGTAGCACAAGCAACATTCAACATCATCAGGGCAAGATGATGTACAATCACACACTTTCAGTCAATGGTAGCACAAGCAGCATTAAACATCATCAGGGCAAGATGATGTAAAATCAGTCACCTTCAGTCAATGGTAGCACAAGCAACATTCAACATCACCAGGGTAAGATGATGTACAATCACACACCTTCAGTCAATGGTAGCACAAGCAGGCATTAAACATCATCAGGGGCAAGATGATGTACAATCACACACCTTCAGTCAATGGTAGCACAAGCAACATTCAACATCACCAGGGTAAGATGATGTACAATCACACACCTTCAGTCAATGGTAGCACAAGCAGCATTCAACATCATCAGGGCAAGATGATGTACAATCAAACACTTTCAGTCAATGGTAGCACAAGCATTATCAGGGCAAGATGATGTACAATCACACACCTTCAGTCAATGGTAGCACAAGCAACATTCAACATCATCAGGGCAAGATGATGTACAATCAGTCACCTTCAGTCAATGGTAGCACAAGCAGCATTCAACATCATCAGGGCAAGATGATGTACAATCAAACACCTTCAGTTAATGGTAGCACAAGCATTATCAGGGCAAGATGATGTAATATCAGTCACCTTCAGTCAATGGTTGCACAAGCAACATTCAACATCATCCCAGGGCAAGATGATGTACAATCACACACCTTCAGTCAATGGTAGCACAAGCAGCATTCAACATCATCAGGGCAAGATGATGTACAATCACACACCTTCAGTCAATGGTAGCACAAGCAGCATTCAACATCATCAGGGCAAGATGATGTACAATCACACACCTTCAGTCAATGGAAGCACAAGCATCATTCAACATCATCAGGGCAAGATGATGTACAATCACACACCTTCAGTCAATGGTAGCACAAGCATTATCAGGGCAAGATGATGTACAATCAGTCACCTTCAGTCAATGGTAGCACAAGCAACATTCAACATCATCCCAGGGCATGATGATGTACAATCACACACCTTCAGTCAATGGTAGCACAAGCAACATTCAACATCATCAGGGCAAGATGATGTACAATCAGTCACTTTCAGTCAATGGTAGCACAAGTACATCCATGGAACAATAGTATCTCACCTTGGGGGGAGGGGGGAAGGGGAGGAAGAAGGAAGCAAGCACACTCCCATGTTACAACAGTATCTCACCTGGAGGGGCACACTCCCATATTACAACAGTATCCCATCTGGAGGGGCACACTCCCATGTTACAACAGTATCTCACCTGGAGGCGCACACTCCCATATTACAACAGTATCCTTTCTGAAAGGGCACACTCCCATGTTACAACAGTATCTCACCTGGAGGGGCACATTCCCATGTTACAACAGTATCTCACCTGGAGGGGCACATTCCCATGTTACAACAATATCTCACCTGGAGGGCACATTCCCATGTTACAATAGTTTCTCACCTGGAGGGGTACACTCCCATGTTACAACAGTATCTCACCTGGAGGGGCACATTCCCATGTTACAACAGTACCTCTCCTGGAGGGGCACACTCCCATGTTACAACAATATCTCAGCTGGAGGGGCACACTCCCATGTTACAACAGTATTCCATCTGGAGGGGCACGCTCCCACATTACAACAGTATCTCACCTAGATGGGTACACTCCCATGTTACAACAGTATCTCACATGGAGGGGCACCCTCCCATGTTACAACAGTATTCCATCTGGAGGGGCACGCTCCCATATTACAGTATTCACACACTCCCATGTTACAACAGTATCTCACCTGAGGGGCACATTCCCATGTTACAACAGTATCTCACCTGAGGGGCACATTCCCATGTTACAACAATATCTCACCTGGAGGGGCACATTCCCATGTTACAATAGTATCTCACCTGGAGGGGTACACTCCCATGTTACAACAGTATCTCACCTGGAGGGGCACATTCCCATGTTACAACAGTACCTCACCTGGAGGGGCACACTCCTATGTTACAACAATATCTCAGCTGGAGGGGCACACTCCCATGTTACAACAGTATTCCATCTGGAGGGGCACGCTCCCACATTACAACAGTATCTCACCTAGATGGGTACACTCCCATGTTACAACAGTATCTCACATGGAGGGGCACCCTCCCATGTTACAACAGTATTCCATCTGGAGGGGCACACTCCCATGTTACAATAGTATCTTATCTGGAGGGGCACACTCTCATGTTACAACAGTATCTCACCTGGCGGGGCACCCTCCCATGTTACAACAGTATTCCATCTGGGGGCACCCTCCCATGTTACAATAGTATCTCACCTGGAGGGGCACATTCCCATATTACAACAGTATCCCATCTGGAAGGGCACACTCTCATGTTACTATAGTATCTCACCTGGAGGGGTACACTCAAATGTTACAATAGTATCTCACCTGGAGGGGCACACTCCGATGTTTCTTCAGAGCTCCACGAAGGTGAAATGCAGCAAAGCAGCCGGAACAATAATGTTCTGAACACTGAACGCAGGTCTGAAACAGTAACAGGCAACACAACCACCTAAAATCTTCAGAGGCTCCCAAATAAAACATGTGGCAATAATAGCAGGAACTTAAAGTAAAAAACTACAAGAATTTATGAAAACAACAATGTGACTAGACCGCCTGTGTATGCCAGCACCATCTCACACTGAGTGTGGCAATACATCACCTGATCCATCTGGAAACAAGGGGAACACATGGAGGCATTCACAGATGTTTCTGTCCCACCATGGCCACGGACAACAACTGTACAACACGCTATTAACTTAAGGAAGCTTAGTAATGATGAAATGTAACTGACCAGACAGGCTACACGGTCCTCACACTGGCCACACTTGGGTCCCTTTGGTCTGTTTTCCTTCCCTGTTCTGGGGTTTTGAGATGTTTGAGCAATGTACTTCATAGTTCCAGGGTGACTGCTGCGACTTGGCACATCTGCACAATCAATGTCAATACTACTACATGTACTAACACTCCATGCCATGCATCACAATCAATGTCAATACTACTACATGTACTAACACTCCATGCCATGCATCACAATCAATGTCAATACTACTACATGTACTAACACTCCATGCCATGCATCACAATCAATGTCAATACTACTACATGTACTAACACTCCATGCCATGCATCACAATCAATGTCAATACTACTACATGTACTGACACTCCATGCCATGCATCACAATCAATGTCAATACTACTACATGTACTAACACTCCATGCCATGCAGCACAATCAATGTCAATACTACTACATGTACTAACACTCCATGCCATGCATCACAATCAATGTCAATACTACTACATGTACTGACACTCCATGCCATGCATCACAATCAATGTCAATACTACTACATGTACTGACACTCCATGCCATGCATCACAATCAATGTCAATACTACTACATGTACTAACACTCCATGCCATGCATCACAATCAATGTCAATACTACTACATGTACTAACACTCCATGCCATGCATCACAATCAATGTCAATACTACTACATGTACTGACCTCCATGCCATGCATCACAATCAATGTCAATACTACTACATGTACTAACACTCCATGCCATGCATCACAATCAATGTCAATACTACTACATGTACTAACACTCCATGCCATGCATCACAATCAATGTCAATACTACTACATGTACTGACACTCCATGCCATGCATCACAATCAATGTCAATACTACTACATGTACTAACACTCCATGCCATGCATCACAATCAATGTCAATACTACTACATGTACTAACACTCCATGCCATGCAGCACAATCAATGTCAATACTACTACATGTACTAACACTCCATGCCATGCAGCACAATCAATGTCAATACTACTACATGTACTAGCAGCTCCATGCCATGCATCACAATCAATGTCAATACTACTACATGTACTAACACTCCATGCCATGCATCACAATCAATGTCAATACTACTACATGTACTAACACTCCATGCCATGCATCACAATCAATGTCAATACTACTACATGTACTAACACTCCATGCCATGCATCACAATCAATGTCAATGCTACTACATGTACTGACACTCCATGCCATGCATCACAATCAATGTCAATACTACTACATGTACTAACACTCCATGCCATGCATCACAATCAATGTCAATACTACTACATGTACTAACACTCCATGCCATGCAGCACAATCAATGTCAATACTACTACATGTACTAACACTCCATGCCATGCATCACAATCAATGTCAATACTACTACATGTACTAACACTCAATGCCATGCATCACAATCAATGTCAATACTACTACATGTACTAACACTCCATGCCATGCATCACAATCAATGTCAATACTACTACATGTACTAACACTCCATGCCATGCAGCACAATCAATGTCAATACTACTACATGTACTAACACTCCATGCCATGCAGCACAATCAATGTCAATACTACTACATGTACTAACACTCCATGCCATGCATCACAATCAATGTCAATACTACTACATGTACTAACACTCCATGCCATGCAGCACAATCAATGTCAATACTACTACATGTACTAACACTCCATGCCATGCAGCACAATCAATGTCAATACTACTACATGTACTAACACTCCATGCCATGCAGCACAATCAATGTCAATGCTACTACATGTACTAACACTCCATGCCATGCATCACAATCAATGTCAATACTACTACATGTACTAACACTCCATGCCATGCATCACAATCAATGTCAATACTACTACATGTACTAACACTCAATGCCATGCATCACAATCAATGTCAATACTACTACATGTACTAACACTCCATGCCATGCATCACAATCAATGTCAATACTACTACATGTACTAACACCCCATGCCATGCATCACAATCAATGTCAATACTACTACATGTACTAACACTCCATGCCATGCATCACAATCAATGTCAATACTACTACGTGTACTAACACTCCATGCCATGCATCACAATCAATGTCAATACTACTACATGTACTAACACTCCATGCCATGCATCACAATCAATGTCAATACTACTACATGTACTAACACTCCATGCCATGCATCACAATCAATGTCAATACTACTACATGTACTAACACTCCATGCCATGCATCACAATCAATGTCAATACTACTACATGTACTAATGCTCCATGCCATGCATCACAATCAATGTCAATACTACTACATGTACTAACACTCCATGCCATGCAGCACAATCAATGTCAATACTACTACATGTACTAACACTCCATGCCATGCATCACAATCAATGTCAATACTACTACATGTACTAACACTCCATGCCATGCAGCACAATCAATGTCAATACTACTACATGTACTAACACTCCATGCCATGCATCACAATCAATGTCAATACTACTACATGTACTAACACTCCATGCCATGCATCACAATCAATGTCAATACTACTACATGTACTAATGCTCCATGCCATGCATCACAACAATGTGGTGTTGATCAGATGTATGTTCAATCAAATGTACTGATGCATATAAGATGACACACTGCATAATACACAGTGATACATTCCATCCCTCTCGGGTCGTGTGTGTAGATTTATTATCAAACCTCTGAACATTTGACCTCTTCCCTATAAGTACCACTGCTCATCTACCAGGAGAGGAGTCTTGTACCAACTAACACAGGCAATCAGTCAGGTAGCTACAGTCATCAGAACTACTGAAATAATCTGAACTGAATCAATAATCTTGATATAAATTTACCTAAAGGTTCATCCCTTAAAACTCTAACTCCTCTCTTCTTATGCTCCTGAAAGAACAAAGGGAAACGTTAATTAGCAGAATTAACATTATGAACACATATCGGATTGACCTTAAGCTTATGTTCAGCTATATAGGACTAAGTCAAGCCTTTCAGCAATGTGTATAAATACGTGGCCTGGACACAGGCCTTGCCTCACACTTGTCTCACCTTGCTGGAGCGCACCGGCTTGTCCAGGATGTCCGTGGCATAGGTGGAAAGACTGCCAGACTGACCAGTACGCCAAAACCCTCCCCCATTCCGCCTGAAAAATACACCACTCACCACTGCTTGGGGAATATTTCTGTCTTTCATCACAGTGATTAAACAAAATTGGGAAGATGTTGCATTGCTGGGCACATGTTGTCTTTACTGTTGTCATGACAATCATTCATAATTACGTCAAAGATGTGAGCAATTCTATATTCAAATTTCCTCTCTCATAATTTCCAAAAAGATATGTTTTGTTTGTATTCTATTGTACTATACATATTTCTTGATAAGATTTTTTATATCACCATATGGTTACATGTTAAATTCCAAAATGTTTTGACAAACAATGTAAACCTTTAGGTTTATAAAACACAAAGAATTTGTTCTCAATGGCTCTTGAAAAGAATGGTGTGGACAGTCAGCATTTCTTATTTTTCATCATTGTAAAGCAACTCCCAATATGATATATTCCTTGATAAGTACAATACTGTTTTCTTCATCCAGTTTGAAGAAGCCTGTGGTGGTCACCATGACAATAAGTCCAGGCTTCTGTACAGTTGTAATTCACAGAACTCAACTTACTGCTACCCAATGTATATGCTGTATGTATCTTGTTTTAGAAATGGAAATAATGAAACACATGGCTGACTTTGTTAAGATGCTGCAGTGCTTGAGAACCAAGACTTTGTTTTAGGTCTCATACATATGTTGTGAATGGAAGACAAAAACAACCTTTTTCTCATCTCATTTTTGTGTAAACTGATTACTCATATAACATATTGGATTAGAAGAAAATCTGTATACAAATATAGCTTCAAGCATAGATATGAGGCTTTAAGCAAGATTTAATGTCATTATATTTCCAAGATAACACATGGATACCTACGAGATGTCAGTTTATATGGTCAAACCAATGTTCTTCACTGAAAGTCAGAATGTCCCATGGCTCTAGCTCAGATGAAACATCAGGTATGGATAATTACACACTTTTACAAACACAGGTTTACTTCTTTAAAACTTAAAATAGAATTCCCAATGATTCCAGTTGAGCTATTTCGATAAAACACATTGCAATGTCATTTAATTCAAGTGAAGACACATTCCATACCAAACATTTGGATCAGTCCATAAGTCTGTTTTCCCTGAAAAATTTGACCATGTGATCTCAAGTGAAGGTGATGTGAGATCTTTATGCTGACAGGTATTAGTCATCAGCATGAAAGATCTGATTTAATAATACTGATATTGTCATAACATTGATGCTAAAACAGTATCATTTCATGTGTGTAGCGACCACCAAAAAAAATCTGACGTCAGCCTAATGTTGAAAATCAAACCATGAAATATCTTTATTTGAAAGCGAAACATGAAACAAAACAGTGATCCCGCATGACAAGCAATGATACTGCAGGCAACTCACTCTCTCTCTTCCTTCTCGCGACTCATGGCCACCTTCAGCTCCTTTAGCCTCTCCTCCATCTTCCTGTTCTCCAACTCCAGCTTCTGACAACCACTGCTCTGTTCACTCATCAGATTGGCTCAAAGCAGTCAACCACCACTCACCACCTCAGCACAAAGCAGTGACAACCACCACTGTCAGCACAAAGCAGTGACAACCACCACTCACCACCTCAGCACAAAGCAGTGACAACCACCACTCAACATAAAGCACAAAGCAAAGCAGTGACAACCACCACTCACCACCTCAGCACAAAGCAGTCACAACCACCACTCACCACCTCAGCACAAAGCAGTGACAACCACCACTCACCACCTCAGCACAAAGCAGTGACAACCACCACTCACCACCTCAGCACAAAGCAGTGACAACCATCACTCATCAGATTGGCTCAAAGCAGTGACAACCACCACTCACCACCTCAGCACAAAGCAGTGACAACCACCACTCACCACCTCAGCACAAAGCAGTGACAACCACCACTCACCACCACCAAAGCAGTGACAGCACAAAGCAGTGACAACCACCACTCACCACCTCACTTCAGCTGAAAGCAGTGACAACCACCTCTCACCACACCAGCACAAAGCAGTGACAACCACCACTCACCACCAGCACAAAGCAGTGACACTCATTTTGACAACCAACATTTAAAATCTGTGTACCCTCTTCACGTTTTATAGCCTACCTAAAAGTGCCATTCAAGTGATAGTACACACAACAGATGTCAATAGCTCATTGCTCTGATGCTTTTCAATTTTCAATGATTCACAAATAAATGTACGTATAAATTACACACATAATCATTATGATGCCAATCAAACGATCAATGATACTTTGAAAGAAAAATGGTGAAAACAGTCAGGAAGTACACAAAACAGAAGCTACCAATCATATACTGGGCTGGATTTAAGACCATACACTAGTGCAACTTGAAACTGCAAAATGTAACCTCAAGTTATACCAACTCACATCCAGTGTGTGTTAGTATTTTGATGTTCAAGAAACACAGGCTTCAGTTGGAAAACAGAATGATGAGGAACTGGGACCTGTTTCACAAAGCTATCATTAGAGTGCTATGAAATCATAAGTCAGTCAGTATAACACAGACTTATGACGGTCGTAGCACTACAATAGCTTTGTGAAACAGTGACTCTGATAACTACATAGACAGTGAATGAATGCTCATGTCATAACATTTTATGAACTCTGACAATGATCTTATCAGATTCAGAATAATTTTGTTAAGTGTTCTAAATCATAAATACAAAAACTCAAGCATCAACTATAATAACATATTGAGCAGCAGATGCAACCTGCTTTCGTTGAGTGCAAGTAAGTTTCATTGCCTTAAAGGAACAATTTCACAAAATTTGGACAATATGTTGGCCTCCTTAATATACATTTGGGCATATGCACTCACTTTAGCTTCCTATTGATGAATGAAAGACTGATTATTAATTGAAACTTCGAGGCGAACAGCTTCCAAACAGAGAACATTTGCCATATATGGAATGTAAACAATTGCTCTGTACATTGAAAAATGTTGCACGCAGTGTTTGCCGAACTGGTTTCAATCACAAGTTGAATTATGGGATATTCGTAAAGAGCACTCCAAGGGACATAACTCTATGGGGTTCGCTTGAAATACTGTTTCAAACTTTTTAATTCAATATTTGCCACCTCGATATTTAATATCAACATTTTAACTCCATTCAAGCAGTTTTTACCAAAAATGTCAACTAAACAAAACATTAGGTTTGAGCATAATTAAAACTCAATTTTCGGGCTCCTGGGGATCAGTATTTTATTTCAATTGAATATTTTTAATAGTTTATGTTCATCTATAAAGTAGTTGTGACGGAGTTATCCCCCTTTCATTTTGTTTACATCCGACCTCATCTTCTTCATTTGCCGTCATGGATCACACTGTTTTCAAGTCCTGTGTGTAATAAATAGATCATAAAGCTCGTGGGTGTTGAATATGGAAAATATTCCAGCTCAATGTTTTAAATGTTTTGATTTATTAACTAACTTTCACTCGTGAATAAACAAAATGTATAAAAATATTGAGTTGGAATATTTTCTATATTCAACACACACTCGTTTTGTATTATCTATATATCAGCTTTGAGAATAACAAGCATGCATATGTGCAAATTCGGAAAATTGTAACACTTTAGACTTCACATAAAGAATTTAGGTCAAGGTATCATTGCACGAATCCTAATTTTAAAGATTAAGGATTTAGAAGCACTTGATGGATACATTAGGAGAAAACCTCCTTTACAAATGCACACATTATAACACATATTGCACTTCAGTGTTTTTGTTCATCATAAATAGAACAATCAGTGGATTCAATGATTACTAGTTCTGAGGAATTTAAAACTTACAATATTCAGCTGACTGCATATCGCAGTATATCACTGGCCAAACCTCTCATTACGTTTGGGAGTTGAACCTTGGTCTTAGGTGTGATAGATTGCAAGTGCAAAGACAAAAGTTCACATCTACATTAGCAAGTTAAAGTCTACCTCACAAGACATGAAGACAACAAACACAAGACGACAGATAATGAATGAAACATATTCAGTAAAATTGCATGACAGCTACTTACAGGTAATTAGACCTGAAAAATGTCACAAGACATATTAGGTTTTATTTGAACAAAATAGTATCATATGACATTTGAAAGTATATATATTAAAAACAGATAAACTTTCTTATTAGCTTTCAACTGTAAGCATAAATTAAATGTGATCTATTGACCCCTAATAGTGACTACTGTAAATCATGAAATTAATGCAAGCATTTTATTAATGCGAAAAATGCGTCTGTACTCTTCTTGCATTATTATAATAACACATTTCAGTCTGACCATGTCTACTTTTGAGAACTTAATAAAAGACAGAAAACATAAATCTGTTGACACTACACATTACACCAATACAGGTCACTTCCTCATTACAGGTATCTCAAGCCACATGTAATTATCACTGGTTACAATCACTGGTCATTGTTTAAAGTCACTCAAGCACATCAGCCAGACCAGACATTCTTCAGCCAATTGTTTGTTGTACCTTGGTAGATGACTTGTGTCTTTCAAGTTGGATTACGTTTATACATGTTGTCATAAGACAAGTAGTAGCAAGCAATCACGTGATCAAACATGGCAGCGTTATCAAAACATCGTCATCTCATTTCCATTCATTGCTTAACAAGCTCAATTCAGGTTATTTGGTAAGTGTGAAAAGAAAAAGAACAACACCAAAGATTCAGGGTGTCACATTTTATCATCAACACAGATTCCTGAGCTCGCATTAATTTTGTGACGCATTTTCGACTAGAGCTTCGCACTCGCAATAAATTTGTGACACATTAATTTCATGATTTACAGTATTAGCAGTTGAACTTAATGCTTGGTAAGATAAGAAAGGAAAGTTGTGTCTCAATCTGCTGTCATGTAACAACCCGGAAACCAGAGAAGCTATGTTAGTCTTGTCCTTAAACTTGACAAATATACATGCAACACCATGACAGCTGACATCTGGGACAAGTACGTTATGTACTATGATGCCATGTTTACTGTAAGACTCTATCTGTAGATCATGTGACATCTGAAATGCTCATCTGTTTTGTCCTAGAAAGTTTCTGCTTAGACCGAAGATTAAAACAAGATGGTTTTTCACATTTGCTGTTTTTATTGAATATTAGATGCCTCAAAATATCATTGTTATTTGATATGTAAAACATTTTTGAACACTGATTACTAAAGAACAGTAACCCACAAATGTTAAAAAACATCATGCATTTCAGCATCCTCGTCAACTGCAATCCGTTGTTGCCTCCTGTGAGACAGACATGATGTCACATACTATATATTACCGTATATAAGCCAACTTTTGTACACCAAAAAGAGCAGCCTGTAGAAGGGGTAGGCTTATCTATGGGTAAGACTTTCATCAAACCTTTTTGTCTGGTGACCAGTAAGAAAATGACATCGTATTGCTTCGCGCTAATGAACAAAAGAAAACGACTTTGTCAGTGAAGACATCACATTTGCAATTAAACATCACTAGACAAGATTATTTACCTTTTCAGTTCTAATTTGCTTTTGCTGGGCATTGTATTATATGCAGGTATCAAGATTACTGTGTGTATTCGTCTCATATCTACAGCCGGAAATAGCAATCAGCTGTGAACACATTTCACATTTATCTACCAATGATTTAGTTAAAACATACACAATGATACAACGGGATGAATTCTTACGCAGTGATCAGCAAAATATTATACCTAAAACTATTACTGAACCAAAACAAATATATCCTAGCATTGTGTAATTATAATTACAGGTTTTGTAAAGGTAGTTCTTTGATAAATAATTTGGCCTTATCACCAGAATGCAGAAAAAAAGTGATCAAATCAAAGTTGTTCTGTTAAGTATTGAAATCTGTAATTAACCTGTAATTAACGTGGTATCCATGTTGCAAAACCAAGAGAAAAAGGAAGAATAAGGAAAAAATATTCATACAAAGTGAAACAAACCCAACTTCTGGCAACCAAAAGCTGAGCACCAACAAAATGACTTCTTTGAGAGGCATTTTAGAAGTTGTATAGATGAAGGAAAACCAAGTTCTATGGATAGTCAACTTCTTTATTGCAATGAGTGCAACATTTCGGTGTAGGTACTAACACCTGCTTGATAACGGTGTTAGTACCTACACCAAAACATAGCACTCATTGCAATAAAGGAGTTGACTATCCATAGAACTTGGTTTTCCACCAACTAAATGGACAAAGGGGTTTCTTAAAACCATCCATGAGTAACACAATGTCAGAGATCCAGTGGGTGAGAGAAAATGTACTCAAATCGTGGATTTAACAACTTTTGCAATAAAACGTTCCACACCATAGGGATATGATTAGGGTGTGATGGCTTTTAATTACTCAAGTCACCAAGACAACCTTATCCAGTAGGATGTATCAGTCACTTAGTACTTGATGTAGCATGTGTGTGATGACAGTACTCACTGAGCGCGCAGACGCAGGGAGACGTCTTCTCGTCGAGTGGATGTGTTGAATGCCGACATAGTGGTACCAGGGGGAGACAGAAAGATACCCTGCTTTTGGAGATTCCCGGAAAGGACGGTAGTTGTACACTGCAACATCAACATTAGTACACTGAGTAATACTTCATCTTTTCTATCATCAAGAATTCAACTGAAACTGGAGAAGCACATTCACAAGGATGGATTCCAAACCTTGCCCTTATAAACCATGAGAATCAGTCAAATCCAAACTTACTAGTGAATCAATCAAGATTGGTGGTGCAGAGTGCCTGGGTCATAAATCAATTGAAAGTTAGCCAGCGTTGATCACGGAGAGCCCTTGGATGGGTGACCATGTTTGGCAATATGACTCCTATGACTTTAGCCCTGCTAAACTAACTAACGACACGTGACGCATACATGTGTGGTTTCACCCTAGGGTACCCTGTGGCATAAGCCATGTGACTGTTACTGCCTCACAGGTATATAATGGTTATCCAGGGTAATGTCTATAATGTTGTATACACTAGTTCGGCATGGAATTCAGCGCTATATATATGAGTGATCTTATGATTTTTATTATTATTATTATATCAAGCTGTCTAAGTCAGTGACAACTGAACCAAACTGACAAACATGTCTAACATTTGGACATGACAACAGGGAACTTGTCTTACAGACATATGTTGTTTGACATGTAAGAGATTTTATGATGGAGGCACTGCTGCTGGGGTATTCATTGTATTGGGTCAAAGATGGCGTGTTTACATAGAAACTGGCACTAGTCCTAAAGTCCTTGTCAAAACTGCCCCGAAGTTCAAGGAGAATACCAGACAATTGCAATAATTTGCTGGGTGAAAGATAAAGTCATCAGAAACATGTACCCCCATTTCTATTTAAAAAATATGGCTTATTATGTTTTAATCGCGAAAGCAGTTTCTGTTATCTGAGCTTTGGCCTTCATGCATATTCCGCTGGAACTCATGTGACCTTTCTGCTCGTGACGTCATTTGTGACTAGAGTCCGCCATATTGCCAAAGAACAAGCGCTACAGTAATACAAATCGTGCTGTTTCTGTCGTTTTTGTAAATGGTACGATGATGTATTCCATTGCCTGGGGATGCACGGAATCATCGAACAACGGAAAGAGCCACCATTTCTTCTGTTTTCCAAGTCAAGAGACAGATTTAGGCAGGAGAATTTTTTTAATATATTTTAGTTCCACTTTTTGGTTACATTTCCATCCATTTTATAACAGGAGAAATGTTCCGATCATTCTGAGTTGGGCGCATAAGAAAGACATGCACACATGGGGTATGAAAATCCAAAAGCTAGGCTGAAGAAAGAAGAAGTACCCACAAGATTCATTCACATTCCATCATTCCCTGTTACAATTGACTGTCAGTGTTATTTTTGACATAAATTAAATCAAGTCCGATATTGCCAGTCGAATTGCCCCAGCTACAAAATGCCCAAGCAAATTTGGTCAAATTCCCCTCGGAAGTTTTGGTCAAATTGCCCCAGGGGGTAGTCAAAATGCCCCAATTTATTTAAAATAATTAAATATATGCTCTAAATGCATACTTTTTGTCAACTTTGATATTATGCTCTTCATATAAAAGTACATACATAGTTATGAGTTTACTAATTGAACATTTATCAGAAATATTACTTCCTGATAGCTTTTATATGAAGAACATAATATCAAAGTTGACAAAAACTATGCATTTACGACATATATTTAATCATTATAAATAAATTTGACCAAATCAGAATCAATGACCAAATTTGCTGGGGCATTTTGTAGCTGGGGCAGTTCGACCGGTACCCATGAGATATATATTATCAAAATCAGTAAGCGATTTCACATGAGTGAAAATGTTTCCCTATATCGTTTTTTGGGTTAGGAGCCCTAAATGCTGCAGTCTACCCGAGACATTGCCGAAAACAACGGCAAATCATGAAATACTTGTTGCTTTCATTGTTTTCCATTTTGTCCAATTACGCACGTCGGCATCAGACTCACTATTTGTCAGTAGTGTGTGCTGTGAAAGTTGTTCTGTATTCTCATTGCCTGACAATATGTCATTCTAAGGCTATGACCGAGTACCATAACTATTTACATAAGCAAAAACTAGGGAAACATACATTGTCCTGACCAGTATTATATAAGTCACCAGTTTTCGGGGAATACTTATCTGCGTCGCGAATATTATCTCTGCTCGACCAGGCTGAGATCTTGTATGGATACTTGACACTTTATTAATGAGAACTAAGATCGTAATTTTTTTCAACAAAATAATTCAAGTGTACTTTTTGTAGCAGATAATTTCTATTTTCCCCCGTATGAAGCATAATTGAAGCTATCACCTATTTGACACAAAACAAACTGCAATCACATTTCAAAAAAAGATTTTCTCAGGGACTGGTAATTTATTTATAGGGTTTGCTGGTTGGACTGTATCACATTTTGCTGACAAATAGTATTCTTGTTAAATGATATGGTATATGGTTTTTTAAATTATTTTGACATCAAGCAGTGCCTCTGTTTTGATGGATTCTTCTTCTTCATCTTCGCTGGAAGATTGTCTTGCAAGATGTAAAATCGGATTGTATTGATACGGTCTAACATCCATTTCAGAAATGACATCAGAAACATCTTTTATTGCTTCAGAATCCATGGACACTGTTAAGTTGTGAGGTAAAATCAAAGAGGAAGCCATCAGCAACTGGCACATATGACCTCATGTCATGTGATACCCCCTCTGCTCATTAACTGTCGGGTATTTCCATAATAGCCGGAAAAACGAATATGTTTTTTGTGTTCTTATTGCGATTTTTACAAACATTTTGTTCAATTTTAATCACGGAAGGTAACTTTTGGAATGCCTTTACCCCTATCAAAAGTTTTGTTTTCGTTCGTATTCTCCTTTAAGGTATTACCGGTACATGCATTATAACACTACCAGGAGTAGATGTTTGTCATTTTTAAAAGTTTTGCTTTATTAATTTGTACTTTACTGAGAAAGTGTAATCCCAAATATAACATATGTTACAGCCGACCACTGATGATTCACCATTTTGGCTGTTTTCTTGTTATGCAATGCTTTGTTTTACGTGTAGGGATAAAGATGATTTTGCATACTGTGTTGTAAACTAAGCTGGAAATAGGATACAGATGTACTTATTTCCTTCCTAGCCGTCATGTTCCCACTATACAGGGAAGTACTGGCATGATTACAAGTGAGTATGTATCAGGGCTCAATTTAAGAGATGTTAATCTACTTGCACCAGGTGCAACCTAAGACAAAAATCTAATTGCACCAGCCAAGTTCCAAACTTCAGAGGTTTCAGTGCACATAAACATATGTCTGTGATGTTGTACCCATGAAACCATAGCAACATAGAGACGCAGCTGATCCCTGTTTACAAGAGCTGTCATAGCTGAAACGCATCTAGAAATAGCAATGTTTCGGTGCCACAGCTATTCAAAGTTTAGAAGAAAAATGAGCTGACATACTTATGCTTATAATGTTACATTTATTGTTGATTTATTTCTCCAAAATTGACTTGCACCTGGTGCAAGTTTGACTAATATATAAACTAGGTTGCACCAGTGCAAGTAACAAAGCACTAAATCACGAGCCTTGTTTATTCTTCCATCAATGCCATAATCACACATTATGATTTTAATTACCAAACAGCCAAAACGTACTGATGAGGTTTCTACAGTTAAAGATAACATTCTTATTTTTATTAAATAACTGTTAATAATCCTCACAGTGCAATATGTTTCACACCAAATATACAGCAAGCAAGGTTAACAGGTGACACAGTCAGCATCTATCACTAGGATTACATATCAAGTACTTAATTACCTTGATACTGAGAAGGGTGCATGTTGGATGATGCCACGTCACTGAACATGTAGCTACACCTCCAGCAGCAGCATCGAGAAAGTCACTGAGTGAGCAAGGAGAGCTGCTACGTGTATGATCTTTACTGGCACCTACTCACATCATGAATATCTTATGGCTTATCTGTGAGCCTATGTCAATACTATGTGTGGGTGGGAAATCTTGAACGCAGTTATCATATAGAAATTATCAATTCAATTTAATGTCTTTCTAAAAGAAGGCTACTAGTGATACTTACAGTCTTTGACATTTAGTTAACTGACAAGCATCTAATACAAACTTTAAATATAACAACAGTTGTAAAATGTTTCATTACTTTACAGATACTCAACATGATTATACACACTGTGTGCTGTGTGAGAAACAAGCAAACAGTGCATGTATGTATATGTGTGTGTTTATTTATTTATTTATTTATTTATTTATTTATTTATTTATTTATTTATTTATTTATTTATTTATTTATTTATTTATTTATTTATTTTTGTTTGTTTGTTTACCTATTTATGTGTTTGTTTGTTTGACATCCAAAAAATAACTAGTGTCCAGAAAGGAGAAGTAATACCTTTGACAACAGAAATAAAGTGAAAAAAAAAAAAACCTTTGACAACTGCTGATGCCTAAGGGCTGCTGAAGGCACACTCATACTTTATTAGTACAAAGCTGATTTATTACCAGTACCAGTACTGCATTTCCTGGCCTTAACATCCTGGCCCAGGCACTCTCTACCCCTGGCATAAGATTATAATGGACATATCCCGAGGCAAGGCAGTCCAACAAGACTGGTGTTTATTCGAAGCCTGACTTGGAGTCCAATCGAGTAAATGCAACATCTACTGTTTTCATCTGAATCAATCAAACCTGAGAAAATATTGATTTTATTTGTTTGGAACATTTGTTTCATCAAAATAATCCCTTGTATCAAGCGCTTCCATGAACACAGGACTCTACAACCTGCTACACCAGCATTGTTCAAACACCTCAATCATAGTATGGGAATTTATTTAGGGGAAATACCTGCATGCATCTACATGTCTGCTGTATGTCTGGTCCCCAAATCCATACACAGGGAAAGCATTTGGTATGAATAAATAATGTAGGGAAAGAGCATATTCTGTCAATAATAGGCCCAAGTAATCCAACACCAAATATCATTACCAGAAATCGTTTTTGTGTTTACACTATAGGTAAATG